TACCTTTAATGAGACTTCCGAGCAAAACTAAGCCGCTAATATTTAATTTAATTTAATGTAATTTAATATTTAATATTAATTTTATATTATTTAATATTTGTGTATTTCTTCTGTTTGGGAGAAACCCAGAAGGTTGGTGTGTATGAGACGGAGGGTCCCCGACTGTAAAAGGAACATGTTCTTGATGCTGGGAAAGAAAACAAAAAAAAATCGGACAAAAGAGAAAAGTGGAATATAAAACCACTGGAACCTCACAGCCCAGAACGCTGTGTCAACCGTGATCCCCTCCCCCCACGCTAACCTGAAAAAGCTGACACCACCAAGTGCTGGTGAGGATGGGGAGGAACCGGGACTCCCGTCCAGGCTGCTGGAAATGCACAATGGCTCAGCGGCTTGGAAAGGCAGCTTGGCAGTTTCTGCACAGGTTCATCGTGGACCCACCGTGGAGCCAGGCTGTCCCCCCAACTGTCCATCATCAGGGTGATGGATGGAGCCACGATGAAATACTTCTCAACAATGAGAAGGCGGAAGCTGGCAACCCCACGGGTGTACCTCCGGGCCATTACGCTGAGTGAAAGAAGCCAGACCTGGAACGTTACATGGTGCAAGATTCCATTTATGTGCCGTTGTAGAAAGTGCAAAGCCCTGCATCGGGCTCCCTGCTCAGAGGGGAGCCTGCTTCTCCCTCTGCCTCTGCCCCTCCCCCAGCTCGTGCTCACTCGCTCGCTCTTGATCTCTATCTCAAATAAATAAATAAAATCTTTTTTAAAAAATTGTACACTTCAGCCACAGAGGAGAGCCTGTTGATGAGTTTGGGTTAACTAGAGCAGGCCTGGATTCACCTTCTTGCCCTGCCCTTGGCTTGCTGTGTGACTCCTCTCAACTGTGTTGGCCTCTCTGTGCCTCACCCGCGAAATGGGATTCTAGTGGCCCCGACGCCCCATGGTGTGTAACTTAGGGCAGCATCTGGCCAGCAGCCATCAAGCACTGGCTTTTTACAAATGCTCAGCTCTGCTTTGCTTTGTCTACCTTTTAACAATTCATCACTGGAATTTTTTAAAAAATATCGTTTCAGACCATGCCAAAGTCCCACAGGGCTTCCACCACAGAGGTGTGTGTGTGTGTGTGTGTGTGTGTGTGTGTGTGTGTGTGTGTGTGTGTGTGTCGGCTGATCCCAGGCCCATCCCAGGCCCATCCCACTTGGTGACTTTCACCCAGCTCGGGTTGCACTCCTGAATCCACCCGCCAGTCCTGGATTCACAGCTTGGCCCCACATCCTGGTCCAGCCCCTCCTCAAGTTCCCCGCCAGCCTCTAAGTCCAGGAAACTGGAATTCTTCTCTCATACCAAGAGAGGTCCCTCAAGGGTAAGCAGCGGCTGTGGCTGCCGCAGGGAAGTTCCACGACTCTGGAGAAAGGAGATTTAGGATCATGCAGCTGCTTCTCCCAGCCCGGGCCACCAGCCTTTGTGAAGCCCCCCTGTCTTGGGGTCCCAGCTCGCACAGATATGGCCCTCCCCCTGCCCTTGCTGAGATGAGGCCAGCTCCCGCAAACCTGGACCCCATGTAGGGTTCCCCCCAAGAACAGTGGGCTCTTGTGGGTTTCTGTGGGCACCCCTCTGCGGCCCCATTCTTGCTTCAAAGGAGCCCTTTGTGGAACATAGCTGTGTGGCCAAGGCCCCAGTGATGCTGGTGGGGAACAGAAAATAGACATGTGTGTATATTTCATAGCCCTCCTCTGCTCTCTGAACGGCCTCTTTGAAGGTGACGATGGGTCACAGCAGGCCTTGGGCGGGAGGACCGTATGCGGCCACCTTGATTCTAATTTGACCATACGTTGCTTTTCTGGGGGATGTGCTGGGGTGTCTGGAGAGGTGGGTTTTGGCTTGGCCTCAAAGCTCTGGTTCCCACAGAGACTCAAGGCCCCTATTGTGGGTGGCAAGGCTCCGAGGAGGAAGGCAGCCCCTGGGGACCCCCTTCTATTCCCGCACCGGGCTGCATGCCGGGATATATTTTGGATGGAATACCACGGTGGCTATTTTTGAAGGTGCTGGGGTGGGAAACTAACCAACCCCTTCTTAGAGGCCCCGACCCCAGGTCACTGTCCCCCGTTCACGGATAGCTGTGTGACCTCTTCCAGCAGCGGGATGGACGACAAGCAAAGTCATGGGGAATCAGTAACGGGCGTAGTGTGTCGGGAGGTGAACAAAAGAATCAAAGGAGGACGGACCACGTCACCGCCACTGGGACGATCGTCGTCCAAAATGGAAAATAACCAGCGTCGTCAAGGACGTGGGGACGCTGGAACCCCCGAGCACCGCCAGCGGGAGTGTAAAATGGGGCAGCCGCTGTCGAAAGAAGCTTGGCGGTTCCTCAAAAAGTTAAATATAGAATTATTTTATGACCTAGAAGCTCCCCTTCTGGGTGTGTACCCAACATAAGTGAAAATAGGGTCTCAAGGAGATTCTTATACAGGTACAATCACAGCAGCATTGCCCAAAGGTAGAAAGAACCCAGGCTTCCATGAAGAGGAGCAGATAAACAACATGGTCCCCGGGCACGAGGAATATTACTCAGCCATGAAAAAGAATGGAGCCCTGATACACATCACATTGTGGATGAACCTCGAAAACATCATGCAAAGTGAAAGAAGCCAGACACAAAAGGCCACATGGTGTGGGATCTCATGTATATGAAATGTCCAGAATAGGCAAATCCATGGAGACAGAAAGCAGGTGCAGTGGGGGCCGGGGTCTCGGGGAGGGGGATGGGGAGTGGCAGCTAATGGGGCTGGGGCCTTGGTGTGGGACTGATCAAAATTATTTGAGGGGTGCCTGGCGGGGGGGCTCCGTCGGTGGAGCGGCCAACTCTGGATTTCGGCTCAGGTCCTGATCTCAGGGTCAAGATCGAGCCCTGCGTCGGGCTCTACGCCTGGCATGGAGTCTGCTTGAAGATTCTCTCTCTTCCTCTCCCTCTGCCCCTCCCCTTGCTTGTGTGCTTTCTCTCTCTCTCTAAAGTAAATAAATAAATCTTTTAAAAAATGATCTGAAAGCAGAAAGAGGGGATGGTTGCAACATCACTGCGATTGTACTAAATGCCACTGAATTGTCTGCTTTAAAATGGTGAATTTTGGGCGCCTGGGTGGCTCGGTTCATTAAGCGACTGCCTTCGGCTCAGGTCATGATCCTGGAGTCCCGAGATCGAGTCCCACATTGGGCTCCTTGCTCAGCGAGGAGCCTGCTTCTCCCTCTAACCCTCCCCCCTCTCATGTACTCTCTCTCTCTCATTCTCGCTCTCTCAAATAAATAAATAAATCTTTAAAAAATAAAAAATAAAAAATAAATAAAATGGTGAATTTTATGGTATGTAAATGTCACCTCAATGAAAAGAGGACAAAAGTGCTGGGAGAATTGATAAGGAGTTACCTGCAGGATATGTTGTAAGTGGGAAAAACAGCACACGCTGTGGCAGAGGAAGTATACCCTCAGGACCCCCATGCGCACAAAGTTGGGAGAGGTAGACATGCATCTTTCCGAGCATGGATGATGGCTGTGGCAGGAGCTTACATCCAGGCGCACCTAGAAGGGAGTAGATGTGCTAGAGGTCTGGGGGGGCTGACAGAGGCTGGTGGGGCCGTCAGACCATGCAGGTGCCCCCCCCGAGAAGGAGGGGAGGAAGGAGGGTGGGGAGAGGCTGGGGGTGGGAGCCGTGAGTAGGTCCAGGCCAGGTGGAAGGAAGGAGTCCTCCTGATTGGGCCCTGCCCGATTTCAGTGTTGCTCTTTGTGGCTGATACGGTGGACTCTTCCAGAAGCAGTGGTAGCTGGATCATCATTGTAAGTGGGGGGGGGCTGCTGCTGGCCTATGCGTCGCCCCTTTTCAGCGCCATGATTCCTCTGTTCGTGAGCCTGTCACATGACAAATGACCAAGGCAGCCAACGTCACCAGGCCAAGTCATGTGGTCTGTGTGGTGGTTCCAAGCCCCTTCGTGGCGGATGCCTTCTGGAGGACGTTGATGCTGGGACAAAAATCCTCACGCTTAGTCCAGCCCCGTTGGTCCACGGATGTCTCTACCCCTGACCTCCTTTTTTTTTTTTTTTTTTAAAGATTTTATTTGTTTGACAGAGAGAGACACAGCGAGAGAGGGAACACAAGCAGGGGGAGCGGGAGAGGGAGAAGCAGGCCTCCCGCCGAGCAGAGAGCCCGACGCGGGGCTCGATCCCAGGACCCGGGGATCATGACCTGAGCCGAAGGCACGCGCTTAACAGACTGAGCCACCCAGGCGCCCCTGTGCACCTCAGTAGTCTTAAGAACATCCATAATGCCGTGCAAGCGTCACAACTATCCATCTCCAGAACTTTTTCATCTTCCCAAACAAAAACCCCACTAAATACTAACTTCTTAGCCTCTTCCCTCAGCCCCTGGCACCCAACCATTCTTTCTGTCTCCAAAAATCTGACTATTCTAGTGACCTCATGTAAGTGGAATCACACAGTATTTGTGCTTTTGTGACCAGCTTATTTCACTCAGCATAATGTCCTCAAGGTTCATCCAAGTTATAGTCTGGGTCAGAATTGTCTTCCTTTTTAAGGCTGAATACTATTCCCTTGTATGGATGCACCACATGTTGGTTATCCGTTCGGCTGTCAATGGACATTTGGGTTGCTTCTGCCTTTTGGCTATTGTCAATAACGTTGCTGTGAACGTGGGTGTGCAAATATCTGTTCGAGACCCTGCTTTCAATTCCTTTGGGGATCTAATCCAGAAAAGGAATTGCTGGATTATTTATTCTATTTTTAATTTTTTCAGGAAATGCCATATTGCTTTTCCACAGTGATTGTACATTTCACATTCGCACCAGCCGCGCACAACAGGTCGTTTCTCCACATCCTCGCCAACAGTTGTTTTTGGTGTCCTTTTTTTTTTTTTTAAGATTTTTATATATTATTTTCTTTGAGAGAGAGCGAGAGATAGAGAGAGAGCACAAGTGGAGGGGAGGGGCAGAGGGAGAGGGAGAGGCAGACTCCCCGCTGAGTAGGGAGCCCAACACAGGGCTCGATCCCAGGACCCCAGGATCATGACCCAATCTGAAGGCAGACGCTTAACTGACTGAGTCACCCAGGTGCCCCTGCTTTTGGTGCTCTTGATAGCAGCCACCGGATGGGGATGTGGCGATATCTCATTGTGGTTTTGGTTTGCCTTTCCCTAATGATTAGTCTTGTTGAGCAGCAAACACATTTGGGATATAGTTATCCTTAAAAAAAGTCATTGTTGATTTGAATTCAAATTCAGTTGGGCGTCCTATATTTTTGTTTCTTTTTTCATTGCAGTCAAGTACACATAATATAAAATTTGCCATATTAACTATTTTTAGGCATAAAAATCCATTGGCATTTAGTACATTTACAATATTGTATAAACACCGCCGCCATCGAGTTCCAGAACTTGTTCATCAACCCTCCACCCCCACCCCAAACGAATAGGCTTCTGTATCTTATCCGGCAATCCTAGCCCCGGGACAAAAACTACAAACGCATGTTCTTGTCCATCTCATGGGAATGTGAACTGTTTCTCATTCTTCTTTCTTTCTCTCTTTCTTTCCTTTCTTCTTTCTTTCCTTTTTCCCGCCCATCCTTCTTTCTCATTGAAATAGAGAAGAATGTGTTCACCAACCCAGTGGCCGTGAGCCACGTGCATGTGCCACGTACCAGGGATAAGCTCTGGCAAGGCTCCCCGACACAGCCCAGCAGCTGGATGGGGGCAGCTACTCACTCCGGCCTGTGGGGGTCCACGGTCATTCTCTGGTGCCCATCTAGTGTCTACAGATGCTGAGTGGAGATGTAAAGGGACCCACGCCTCCATTCTTCAGGCCTTTGATGGTGGCCTCCCTGCAGGTGCAATATCCGTTATCTTTTACTGCTTTGGCAGGGGTGGGGAGCAGTTTCAGAAGGCTCCTACAGCCTTCCCCACTCTTAACCCCCAGGCCAGGAGCTCAATGGTTGGAGGCAGGTCCACCAACTCTCATCAGCTCTAACCACACACTGGGAGCCCAATGAGCCAGGCCACTGTGAGCTGAACTTCCTCTGGGACTCTGTCCATTCCCTGGACCCCCAGCCCTCAGTCTGCAGATGGCCATTGTGACTTGTTGGTCTCTGGGGATCAGTGTCAACTCAGCCTCTGTGTCTGATAGTCCTTGAAATGTCGGCGCCCCCTTCTGCAGTGAACGGTGACTTGAGTTCAGGACTGCAGGTCATTGTGGGGAAGGACTGGGGGCTGTCATGCACCTGACCACCTCCTCCATCTGGCTCAAGCCTGAGAACCACGCAAAGTGATTGTGGCTCTTTATTGGGGCGCCCGGCCTCGGCGTCCCACCCCTCTCTTCCTCCTTTGTCAGGTGATGGATGTTAATTAAAAGGCACCTTCGGTGGCTGCCCATCCCTCTCATCCAGAGAGACATTTTTTTTGAAAGATTTTATTTACTTATTTGACACACACACACACACACACACACACACACACACAGAGTGCGCACAAGCAGGGGGAGTGGCAGGCAGAGGCAGAGGGAGATGCAGACTCTGCCCGATGTGGGGCTCGATCCCAGGACCCTGAGATCATGACCTGAGCCGAAGGCAGACACTTAACGACTGAGCCCCCCAGGCGCCCAAGAGAGACATTTGTTAATTCTATTCACCGTCGCCATGACTCAGTGGGGGCTTCACCACCTTGCCTGGCATATCAACCGCGTTCTCCCAGAGATGGAACCAGCAGGACATGCATATACTGGGCAACCTCTCCGGTCCCCTCCCTCCTCTGGAGTTTGGTACTATCACTTTGCTATTGCTCAGTAAACCTTGCTTTTCTGCCCGCCCCCCCCCCCCAAAGGATATGCATATGTCAAGAGACTTATTGCAAGGAGCTGGCTTATGCAACCATGGGGGCTGACCGGCCTGAAATTCGTAGGGCAGGCAGGCAGCCTGGAGCCTCATGCAGGAGCCGATGCCACCGTCCACAGGCTGACCAAGACTCTCCATGACCAAACTCAAGCCAGGCTTCTCTGAACCCGCTTCTTGACGAGGCCTGAACCTTGGCCCTCGAAAGACTCACTAACATGGTGCCTGAAGGCTCAACACCTCATCCCTAGGATGGCCCTAGCCCCTCTTAAAGTACCTGCCTGAGAAAACTCAAGTCCGCTCAAGGAACTGGCCGCTTGTTCCAGCAACACCTGAAGGTGGGCCCCATCTCCCCAGCCTCTGGGGCCGAACTTCAAGAAGCACCAGTTAGCAAACCCAGGTGGGTTTCGCAAGGACCAAGCCCTCCCTCCTTCCGGTTTTTCGTACTTGTTCAGTTCCCTGACTCTGAAGCCCCCCTCACCCACCTCCCCGTTCCCCCCATTCTCCCTGTAAAGTGCCAAATTGATGTTGAGTTCACGCCACCCTGGGCCCTTTGCCCTATTGCAACAGTATGTTACTGACTAGAGTCTGTCCCGACTTCAGCTAGGGTCTGGCTTTACCTTGGACAAGCTGGAACTTGTTTTGCTCTCGAGGCCTTTCAGCTGACTGGATGAGGCCCCCGCCAATTACTTAGGGTCAAATGGCGTGGCTGTTAATCACATCTACGAAGTTATCTCCACGGCAACACCCGGGCTGGTGTTTAATAGTCGACTGGGTGGTAGGGCTTAGCCACGTTGACATGTAAAACTCTCCACGGCACTGTCTTAGGACAATCGAGGGCTCTGGCAGGATGGGTCCCTCTTGTTCCCACTGTGTCCCCAGCGCCCGACAGGGACTGGTGCACAGTGGGACAATAGCCAGCCGGTGTTTGTTGAGGGAATACATGATGGAAACTACATCAGCCCCTGGCTTTAGCCCAGGCCGCTAGGGAATTTCTCCCTGGTCTGGGGGACAGGGGAGAGGGGGACTTTGCTCGGGTAGAGAGTCTCTGCAGAGCCTGGACCTCCGAGGAGGGCAGAGGAGGACGGGTGGGGTCTGAGCCGCTCTGCTGAAGGAACAGCAGCGTGTCGAGGCCTTTCCACTCTGCGGTCAGACTCCTGGCCCCGAGAGCCATAAAACAGCCCTGCTTGGACTGGAAACATTTTCCTTTAATATGTTCCTGGAGGCGTTGGCAGAGCCTGTAAGGAAAATTCCAGGGGAATAAGCAGAGAGGTCTTCAGCAACCACTGAGGGCTGGGAGGTGGTGGCCAGACCCATGGCTCTGGGGGGACCCAACTGTCTTGAGGGGAGGGTGAGGGACCCCGGCAGGGTCAGGTAGCTGTCACTGTGTTATCTGGGTCTGGGAGGATCCTGCGGACTGTTGGACCTCCCTGAGCCTTGTGGTGGCGGGGCTGGCGGGTGGCCTCGCCGGTCGGAGTCAGTTCTCCACAGGAATTTGTATAAAGCTGCCTGGAGTTGGTCTCAGCAAGCATGAGCACGTTGACCCCACAGGGCGCTGAGGTCTGGGGAGGGAGCCTCCAAGGGCCTGGCACAGGGCAATGGGGTACAAGTCTGATGTGCCTTCTGCTCACTCACCTCCTATGGCGCCCCATTGCCGTCGGATGGAATCCAGACACTGTCATCCCAGGTGCTGTCATCCCATCCAGCTCCATCAGCCCATCTCCCCTCACCCCATGTGTACCCAGTTCCAAGAACACTGCCTTGTCCTCTGTCACCTCCAGGCCTTTGCTCACACTGGGGCCTACCACCCCAAGCACCCTCTGCGGCCTCTGACCTGGCTTATTCCTATCCCTCCTTCAGCTGGAGCTTAGAGGTCCCTCTTCCTGGCCCCCCGTGGCTGCCTGTGTGCCCCCCATCACGGCTGCAACCATCCTGGCATGTACTGAGAGCAAGTGTTGGTTATAAATCCCGGGGTGTTGCAGGGGGAGGTCAGGGGGCCTCGGAGGGACAGATGTTTCTCCAGCTTTGTCATCGGGACTGGGTATGTCCCTTCGTCCCCAGGAAGACACAACCCCACCTAGTACGGGCCAGGCACAGTGGTATGCCCCAGGGAAAAAACACAGTTTGTATTTGCATGAACACACCAAGATGATAACTTCAAAGACTGGAGAGTTGGGTGGAGGTGTTTCTGCTCAGGGGTTGGCGGAGGCCTCCTGAGGTGCTAACATTTAAGCCGAGACCTGAAGGAGGCTAGGAGAGTATCGTGTAGGTATGGAGGATGAGCATTCCAGACAGAAAGGATGACTCGTGGGGCCCTGGGGCAGGAAAGGGCTTGGGGGCTGGAGGGACATGGAGGAGGCTGGAGTGACTGCAGCCAAGTGAGCGAAGGAGGAGGAGACACACCAGAGGGATGGGCTGAAGCCAGATCACACAGGGCTCTGCAGGCCACAGAGAGAAGGTGGGTTTTATTCTGAGAGAAATGGGGAGCCATGAAGGGTGTGTGAGCGGGAGGGGAACACGATCTGATTTGGGATTTTTGAGACATCCCCTGCGGCTGCTATGGGGAGAAGGCCGGCCGCATCCGGGCAGGAGTCAGGAGGGCGGAGACCGGGACCGGCTGGCAGGAGAGGACAAGTGGTTGGATTTGGAAGCTGAGGGGACAAGAGCTATTGATGTGCTGGACAGAGGGGGGCAGGGAGGAGTCTCAGACGCCACCCAGGTCTCAGGCCCAGCGCTGAGTGAATGGTGGGGTCGTTGTCGGAGACAGGAAGACTTGGAGAGATGACGTCAGGGACCAACGGCCCCACCTTGGCCGTGTGCTTGTGGTGTCTGGTTGGACCCAGGAGCCTGGGCTGGGATGGCCAGGCTCCAGATGGAAACATGGGCTTTGCAGGCCAAGAGTGGCCTTTGGTGTCCGGGCCTGGATGGGGTCCACCGGGGAGAGGCAGGCAGGGGGCAGGGGCCAAGCCCTTGACGCCCAACTTTTGTGCAAGAGGCCGGGCCCACCCCAGGTCCTCTTGTTCCAGCTGGAAGCCAGGACCAAATCGAAAAGTCCAGATGTGGAGTTGGACACGGTCCTGTGACCGTGCGGTTTGGGGAGGCCCAGCGGCCAGGCGTCCAGTGGGTCAG